AACTTAGGGAATCCGATTTAATAGAAAAATGACATATATATATATATGAGATAATGAGGTAAATCCATAAATATAATATGAAAAATATGGCCTTTAATGAAATTATGGTTTGAACAAAAAAATAAGATGAAAAATATGGACGCGAAAGGGAAGTGTCACAAGACAGATGATACGGTGGTAAAGATCAGAGATGTAATGGTCCCTTTTGGGAGATCTTTAATAAAGAAAGAACCAAAAAAGAGACAAGTCGTGAAAAGTACCAAAACGTTGGACATTACCCCAATTGTACTGACATTCACATATTGATATACGTACAAAACCATATGTATGCCTAAATATGTCTTGTTCTTCTCAAAGTGTCACTTGTTGCCTTGTTGGAGTTTGTGATCCCTATGCAGCATACGTATCCCATCTTTCTATCGTTTAATTTTTTTTCTCATGCCACTTCTGTTTTTACCTAAATATAGATCTATCTGATTCTTACGTCATCTATTGTGGTTCAGATTATTCTTCATGTAGGTTTCCCAATTGCCCTTAGATTTGTTTCGATGGGTGCAACTAGAACTTTTAGTAGTTGATGAACACCAGTTGAAATCAACCGGGAGTTGAGATAATTAATCAAGTTTTTTTTTGTTTCTTCTGAATGATTTAGATACATCATACGTTACACGTCTTTCACTCTTTATTTTATTTAAGTTGTTTAATGACTTTGTAATCTGAAATGTAATTTACACATTAATATTTGCTTTTAACCATTTAGTTTATACCCAAGAGTTCTTTAAAAAAACTTGAAATGGTCATGCATGTGATGGGGATACATAATATCTGCTATAGTTGGATGTATATGCACAAAACAAATTGTAGCTAAGAAACGCTGAAAGGTGAACGATCCACCGCTTTTGCATTTTCTCTCTTGGTTTGTGATCCAGTTTTTGATTTTTTTTAATAGATCTTTTGTCCCTCCTAAAATTTGAAGTGATCATCTGTGTTTATTCTGAAAGTGTCGTAAATATTTGTAGTAGCACGCTATGTCTTTTAAAAAAAAATTATGAATTTTTCTAGAATAAAAATCAATATATTTTCTTAAAAGGAAAAAGAAGAGAGTTCTGAAACTACTATCAAATCTAAAAGATTGTAAATTTATTTATTCACATAAACAATATATATATATACTAAGTGTTTTGCCCGCACATGCGGACTTAATTATCTTTAAGTCAATTTAAAAATCATCAAAATAAATAATTATTTTCATCCAAAAATATGACCTAAAACATTAAACTTTTTTATATGATAAATTTATTCACAAATTAAAAAAAAAAAACTATTTTTTCTTTAAAACTTTGAAAAAAATCTAAAGTCTATTCCATTTCTTCTAAATTGATAAAAAAATATAGAAACCTATTTTTCAATTTGATAAATTGAATAGATAAATATACATTCAAAAATCAATCTTACAGAAAGAATAATATTAGTTTGGATAATAATATATATTTGAATTTATTTTTCTCAAACACATATTTTCTTTCTTTTTGAATGATCTTTTATTTTATTATGATTAATTCATGTTTAATGTTTAACTATATAAATATAAAAATAAATTTAATTTAACGTGTGAGTTCAGAGGCGAAAAATAACTTCACAAATATATATTATTATATTATACTATATTATTATATTCTTTTAATTTGAAAATAATACGTATTATAAATGTTTCAATTTTCTCTTTTCAATTCTATACAATTAAAAATTTACTTTAAGAATATTTATTTATGTGTTTTCTGTTTTTTGATTTTTATTAAAATATATTTTCCGGATAACAACGCAATATATATAGGAATTATATTTTTTATTTTTAAATATATATTTAGATTATCGATAATTCTTATCAGTATTATTAATTTAAATCATTTATCTAATCAAATAAATATCAAATTTGTTTTTATTTTTGGCCGGTTTATATATTTTATTCCTTAAGTGTATAAACGATAGTAACCACTCCAACTTTTAACGTGAGAGCTCCGTTGCAAAAAATCACTTCACAAATAATAGTATACTAGGTGTTTTGCCCGCAGTTGCGGGCCTAAACATTTTATAACTATTTTACTCATATACTTTTACTGATCGAAAGATTTTAATGATAAATTATTATTTATGTTTTTTTTAAAACCAATAATATTTATATTTTCATTTAAACATCCTTACATATATTTCTTTATACATTATGTTCAAAATTAAAAATAAATCTTAAAATCAAATAATATTTTCAATTATATAATATTAAGAAGTTTACTTGATTAATATTTAGTTATCTATTTTCTATTTTTTATTAAAATATATTTTTAGATAACAACACAATATATATATGAATTTTCTTATTTAAATACATATTATTTAGATTTTGGATAATTCTTATGATTATTATTAGTTTTAATTACTTATTTAATTAAAATAATTAAATTCAGTTTTATTTTGTATGTATTTTTTATATTTTATTCATTAAGGGTATAAACGATATTTTACTAATATAGTTTTACTAATCGAAAGATTTTAATGATAAATTATTATTTATTTTTTTTAAACCAATTATATTTATATTTTCATTTAAACATTCTTACATATATTTCTTTGTACATTATGTTCACAATTAAAAATAAATCTTAAAATCAGATTATATTTTGAATTATATAAAATTAAGAAGTTGACTTGATTAATATTTAGTTATCTATTTTCTATTTTTTATTAAAATACATTTTTAAGACAACAACACAATATATATCGAAATTATCTTATTTAAATACATATTATTTAGATTTTGGATAATTTTTATGATTATTATTAGTTTTACTTACTTATCTAATCAAAATAATTAAAATTCGTTTTTATTTTGTATGTAATTTATATATTATTTTCATTAAGGGTATAAACGATATTAACCACCCTAACTTTTAACGTGGGAGCTCCGTTGCGAAAAATCACTTCGCAAATAATAGTATAGATATATATATATCTTAAATGGTTATCTGCTTCAAATCGTTTTTTCTCTTAAGTTTCTTTGCTTTTTTCAAATTAATTCACGTCTGTTTATAACAAAGCTATTTTACATTTTTGAACAATTATATGGAATTTAATTTCAAACGAGAAAAAAAATGATCCTCTAACAAACCCTCAAGCTTTATACGTTCTTCTCCTTTGAATCAAATCTCTTCCATCCTTATCCTCCTGATTTTTACTAGAACTTTGAATCTCATTATGCATTCTTTAATTATGGGATTTGGATATATTATAACGCAATCGTGGACGAATTATCAGTTTCATCCGCAATATAAAGCAAAATTTCATAAGCAAAGCGGTAGTTTTACAACTATTTAGAGCATGCAGCATCTAGTAGACTTATGGAATTGAATATACAATAAATGTATGTTTTAAAAAGAAAATTCATGTGGGGGTCCTGACTGACCTGTAAAAATTTGATCAGAAGGAATTGAATGGTTTTGGCGAATACTGAGGTGTGGGGATGTTTTCTTCCTTTGCCATTCTAAACCTATCTCTTGTCTTTTCTCTCGCTCTCTAAAAGTGATCACTGATAAATCAGACCCCCCTAGAAAGATCACGTGTTACCGGTATTGATACATACTACACTTAGTATGTGGTATTTTCTTTGATCATTATCATGAGAGATGACATATTTGAATTTAGGGTTATGGCATTACTTGTACATGGGGTCGTCCAGTACCACCCTACACATTTTGTCTCATGTAAACTGCTTTCGGATCTGGACTCACGCGAACCTCTTGATTAATTGTTTTCGTTTGTGATCCCTCCCAGAGTTTTACAGCGATAAATAATCATTTACGAAAGTAACAACCATAAATTAGTTTATAGCTCAGACCATTTGGAGTGGGTGGAATTACCCAAACTTAACCAGAAATGGTAGTTCAATTATTCGGTTCTTTCAAAGGTGCAAAACATCAACAATCTACTTACTTTTCAGGAGGAAAAAACATCAAAAAAAATTACTTCTAAATATATGTCGCTAGTATATTTCACAGTAGCATAAACTAATTGCTACATTATACTACTTTATAACATGCCAGTTTTTTTAATTATATTACTGTTTCAAAAAAAAAACTAACCATTTTTCATAGGTGCAAAACATCAACAATCTAATTACTTTCCAGGAGGAAAAAACATTAAAAAAAAACTACTTCTAAATACATGTCTCTAGTATATTTCACAGTAACATAAACTACTTGCTACATTATTTTACTTTATAACATGATAGTTTTTAATTATATTACTAACCAATTTATGGTATAGCCAACTCCTTTTTGACAACACAAAAATTGTTAGTTCTTCTTTCAAAACATAATAAGTCATTCCTTTTTCAGGTTAATTATTGAGTTTCAAAACATATAATATTAGCTAACACTGTTGAAGATGATAGAAATGTCCGGATATTTTTTCTTTAATAGTTAGATAACTTATTTCTTGTTTATGCATATACTAAATTCCTATTATCTTGAATAAAGACTGGCTCACAAATTAAACCTTATTATAAATAACAGTTTATCCATTTATATCTACTAGTGTAAGTTGATGGACATATATTATAATTTGTTTTTGTCTCGTACGTGGTCTCTTGCCTTTAAAAAGGGTCAAAGACAGTATAGCTTGGATCCTTCTATGCTTCTCCCTGATCTCTCCCAGTCTCCCCTCTTACATCTCTTTTGTGTTTCATAGATCTCTATCAATCATGGGTTCGAATTTTCATTACACTATAGATCTCAATGAAGATAAAAACCATCAATCTTTTCTCTGTTCTTTTGGATCCTCTATTCATCATAATCATGATCATCAACAAAATCTTTATCATCACCAAGCTCCTTCTAATCCCACTTTTTCGTCATCTTCTTTAGCTTCACCATCTCTTTCCTACTTTCCTTTCTTGATCAACTCTCACCAAGATCAAGTACATGTTGGGTATAACAACCATACTTTAAATGGCTTTCCTGATCCCAATATCTCCCAACCCCTCGAGGTACAAATTTTCTTAAGTACTGAAACTCCTATATACCAATATTTTTATTATCTTAGAGAAATTGTATATTATTCACAAATGCAAATTTTAGTTTACCAAATTATTTTATCATGGTTAATTTATGGAAATTTCAGACCAAAAAGCTTGAATATGATGGTGGATCAGCAATATTAAGCGATCAAATGATGCCAAAGAAGGAGACACGAGCTAAATTGACGATACGGAAGAATGATAATCATCATGACCAAACCAATCTTCCTCAATATCGGTCAAAAGGTGAGACAGAAACTAATTCGCTCAAGTGGATGTCTTCGAAGGTGAGATTGATGAAGAGGAAGACCATGATCACCTCCACCGACAACAACAAACAACACGTTAACAATGAACAGTTCTTGAACGATAGCTCTCTCGAAGAAGATCATTTCAAGAAGATCTCAAAAAAACAATACAATAGTATTATTAACGAGAATGGTTATAACGGAAGCAACAACTGCGTAATTAGGTTTTGCTCCGATTGTAACACGACCAAAACTCCTCTTTGGAGAAGTGGCCCTAGAGGTCCCAAGGTAATATCAACCACACACATATTAATTCAACACATATATTTCATATTTTGTATATAATTAGAAGCTCAATCAGAGAATTGATGTTGATGTCTTTTTAGGACTATTAATATCAAAAGGAAAATAATTTATAAAATCACTAGCAAAAACTAACCCTTCAATCAATTGATTTGTGTTTATTCTTTAAAAAGAAAAATCAATTTATGTAGTAGTTCTGACTAGGTAACAAGATAATTTATTTAACTCTCAACTTGGTTGTGTTATTACAGTCTCTTTGTAACGCGTGTGGGATAAGGCAAAGGAAAGCAAAGCGAGCTGCTATGGCAGCTACAGCCGCAACCACAACCTCTGACTTGTCACCACCGCTCCTGAAGAAGAAGAAGATGCAAAACAAGAACAAGAGATCTAATGAAGTTTATAATAATCTCTCTTCTCCTTCGGCTCCAGAGGTAAAGAAATATAAGAGTATGACCACATCGGTGGAGGAAGCGGTACTGATGATGGAAGGCGCAACAACCGAGGGTTTGGAGACTCAAGGCAAACCGGCTATGTCGTCTTCTTCGACATCTTCCTCTTCCGACAAGTTTTATTTCGATGATCTAGCCATAATTTTGAGCAAAAGCTCAGCTTATCAGCAAAGTTTCCCTCAAGATGAGAAGGAGGCTGCCATTTTACTAATGGCTCTATCGTATGGAATGGTACACGGGTGATTCTTTAATCAATACCCACCTCTTTAGTTAAGAAGTTAGGGAATTATTATTATTAATGGTGCCATAATACGTTGTTAAGTTTTGTTCTTGCGGTGATAGATCAATATCAAGAATTCCAACTTATGGGGTTTATAATTATTTTCAGTAATTAGAATAGTTTGTATGGAGCTTGATATTCAAATAATTATACAAGTAGACCGGGTCTTATTAATTAAAGAGCATTTTTTGTCTCCAATTCTAGACCTTGTAGTTACCAACTCTCTTAGCCTATCACAACTCTTTATAAACCTAAGTAAGCCATATTTACATTAGGAATATAAATGCATTCGGGTGAAGATTATAATCCTTCAATAAAAGGTCTTAAAAACGGTGTCTTCAAGTTCACATGTTTCGTGTATTCATAGGGGTGGACAAATGAAACTAGACCATCATTGGTGCGTAAAATTATATTTACTTAAATTTTATCAGTTAGATACAAAGATGTACATTGCAATTCTTAACAAGAGTCTAGATCATTTGGCTATTGCCTAGGGTGCCAGTGCCAGCCAAAATATTTTTAGCTCCACCGTGAGATATTTATTGGCCCAGCCGCCCAGATATGTTTTTTTTTTATTAACTTGGGAGTATCCTAGACCCATGAAACGTCCAGATATGTTGTCTCGTGTGTTCCTTGTCGATAAACCTTCAACAGTTTACTCAATCATAACTGAGACTACTTGGATCACAAATTGAAATTCTACGTTATTGTTTTTATATATAGATGGTGGTGAGATTGTGGATTTGACTCACCACGTTTTTAAAACGGGTAGCAGTGCAACACATGAGCAGAAAAGTCGTGCTCAAGATGAAGACTACACAAGTGCAACCATCAACTAGATATGGGCCTATGGCTATATGTAGCCCTTTATTACATTCTCTTTAACACCGGTTAATTGTTCCTGTCAGAATATATACACGGACATTAATAAGTGGAGATAAGATTTGTGAGAGCGAAATTTAGTGGTATACAAACATGCAACAGAGAGGCTTACACTTTGGCAAGGAAAGCAAGCACGATCAAGAAGAGCTTCTGTATGTCTTTTAATATAGTGACAAATTCATTCAATGGAGACGCTTAGAACAAGGACTACATGGGCCTATATAGTCCGGTCTACATTCGAATAGACAACTCGGACATCGCTTATTACAACTACTGGAAAGTAAACGAAAGGGCCTTCTAGGTTTATTTTATTATTATGTTCATTAAATCAAGAAATATCAAACCCACTGAGCATAGTGATCATCAAAATTCAGAGTCATATTAAAGTTCATAACTCATAGTCTCATAGTTAACCAATAAATTGAATTCTTCATTAAAAACATGAAAAACTTTTTCAAAGAACCGCAAAGTAGTTTTATCCATTTGAACCCCGGATAAACTTTGGGTTTATGCTCCTTGGATCTCTTCGACCTGTAGAAGTCATAGTGTTTATATTACAAAGACCCCCATGGCCTGATCAGCCAATTCTGAACCCGAGATGGTTTCTAAAAGCACTTTCAATGGGGAATTTTAGCTCTAGAAATCTCAAAATACATTTGTATATATATTAATATGAGTATTTAATTGGAAGGTTCTTAACTATACAAGAAACCCAACTAGAACATTGTGTATAGAGAATTTTTTGGTTAGGTTTCCCATAAAGTTAAGTATCTTACAATTAAATACTAATATTAATATATACATACACATATATGTATTTTAAAAACTCCAGAATAAGAATCCTCCATAAGCTACTAACATAAGCCAAATTTTGATTATCCATCCTATTTTTATTATTACTAGGTATTTTGTCCATACATACGGAAATAATTTTCTTACGAATATTTATTAGTTTATGTTTTATTAATTCAAAAATCAGCTTAATAAATTTTTTTTAAAGTATAAAACAAACATCAAATTAGTTGTAAATGACAACACTCACATATTAGAAATATTTTAGAAAATATATTTATACAATTTTTTTTTTCTTGATTCATATTTAATTATATTTTATATCTTATAAATTTTGTAATAGAAAAATATATTTCCAAGATAACAATATAAAATATAAGAATTATCTTATTTTCTAAAAACATAATACTATTAATTAGATTTGATTTTATTATATAATAAATTGTATATAAAAATTCTTAAAACAACTCAAATAAGAAAAATTACATAATTATAGAGAAATTGACAATCAACAAGTTTACTTCACAAATTATGGTATAGACCCGTACATGTGAAGATAATTGTATAACGAATTCTTATTATCAAAAACCAGGACAATAAGTAGTTATTTATGTTTCAAAAAAATTAAATCAGACATCAAGTTAGTTATAAATGACAATACTCACATATCCTTAATATTTTATAAAATAAATTTATATAAATTTTTTTGCTTGATTTATATTTAATTATAACTTGTTATATCTTAGTTTTAAAATTTTATAATAGAAAATATACTTTCAAGATTACAATATAATAAATAAGATTTATCTTATTATCTAAAAATATAATATTATTAATATAAATTTGTTTTAACATACCATTAATATATAAGGCTTTTTGCAGAATTGACCTGAAACTTGAAGTCAACCACAAAACTAACCTCCTTTTTTTGGAATTTTATTTTGCCCAATTCACCCCACAAGTTCATATAATTCACGAAAATACCATCAATTTGTTTTTTTTTTCGAAAATGACATATTTACTCTCTCACCCTCATCATCTTCAAGTAATTACAAGATTGTCATTGTCATCAATACGCCAACAACCATGAACAACCAATTTTGAAACTCTTAATGCCTCCAAATTTCATTTACCCTTCTTCTTTCTCTATTCTCATGAACTAAACAACACATTACAACACATATCTCTCACTTTCTCTCCACAATGAGCTAAAAACCCCAAGATTTTGATTCTACATTTTTTAGGGTTCATATAGTCAAATAAATTAAAGATTCAGGGTGGATTACCTTCGTTTGAGATCCTGAATGCTTGATTCTACATTTTCTAGGGTTCATATAGTCAAAGAAAGTGGTCTCACCAATTTAAGGTATGAAATCGAGTTTTTTTTCCAGATCTGTTCGTCCAGACGACTGAAATTTCAGTTGTCTGCATTTTTCCGGTCAACCCAAAGGTTATTTTTGCAATTGACTTTGCAATTTGTTTCCTGAGACGACTGAAAGTTCAGTCGTCTAGATTAGTTTGATAAAAAAAATATCCTCAGAATCTGGACGACTGAAATTTCAGTCGTCGTAAGTTAGTTTTGCATTTGACAATAAAACTTCAGAATTTTGACTTTTTCGGACGACTGAAATTTCAGTCGTTTGTGAAAAAATTGAAATATCAATATTTTATTGGAACTCATGACTTACATTTCGGTAGTAATAGGTTAGTTTTGCAATTGTGAAAAAAAACTTCAACTCTCAAGACGACTTATAATTCAATCGTCCGGAAGACGACTTAAAATTCAGTCGTCCAGGATTTTATTCCGAGATTCTGGTCAAACCTTGTAAATCCTAGACGACTGAATATTAAGTCGTCCAGCAGACGACTGAAATGTAAGTCGTCTAGATATGATTAAATATTGAAGTTTTTTTTTTTCAATTGCAAAACTAACCTACGACGACTGAAATGAAGTCGTCGAATTTCAATAAAATATTGATATTTCAATTTTCCTCAGACGACTGAAATGTAAGTCGTCCTGAAAAGTCAAACTTCTGAAATTTTCTAGTCAAATACAAAACTAACCTACGACGACTGAAATTTCAGTCATCTGTGTTTTTTGGAGATTTTTTTTATCAAGCTAATTCAGACGACTGATATTTCAGTCGTCCCAATTAACAAATTTCAAATTCAATTGCAAAAATAACCTCTGCGTTGACCAGACGACTGAATGTTTAGTCGTCTAAATGACTGAGATTTAGTCGTCTGCTTCTATCTTTAATAAACTTTTGTTTTCTTTGTTCTATGTTTGCTAATGTGTTTTATTTTTACTATTTCAGATGACGCATCAGTTACGTGCAGTGTATGGAGAATGGTTGTTAGAATTTTGTGGTTGATTGTTTCAAATGAGCGAGGATGTTATTTTGAGTGAAGGTTTGACACATGCTGATCTTGTTTCAAAGGAGCGGGGATGTTATTTTTGAGTGAAGGTTCGTCACATGTTGATCTTGTTTCAAAGTAGAAAGGATGTTATTTATGTATTATGTACTTCTCTTTAGACGACCTTCATTTCATTCGTCCAGACGACCTTAATTTCAGTCGTCCAGACGACCTTATGGTTAGTCGTCTCTCGGGTTAAATAAAAATTTGAAAAGACAAGTCATGCATTACATTATCTGAAACACAAGTCATACATTACTAAATTTGACTAAGTTTTTCAACACAAACTTGTAAAACATGTAATATGCTTTAACACCAATGATGGTTTGTTGGAAGAAGGGTTTGATGTTGAAGTCTATTATTTCATTGATTTGTAAATGTGTAAACACATTGTTATCACATATATTACATCTTGGGAAACAATATTACTGATTTTACAAAAAAAAATCACAATTAAAAGAGTACACATGCAAATTACAAAACACACCACAAACTAAACTATAATAGATCATTCCTCTACAAAGATAAGTTTGGACTCCACTTGATATGAAACAAGACAGCTTCAGAAAACTTTCAGGAAGTCCAGACAACTTTCAGACGACTTTCAGGAAGTCCAGACGACTTACAGGAAGTCCGGACGACTTCCAGGAAGTTCAGACAACTTCCAGACGACTAACAAGTAAGTCGTCCAAGACGACTAACAAGTAAGTCGTCCAAGACGACTAACAAGTAAGTCGTCCAAGACGACTAACAAGTAAGTCGTCCAGATGACTAACAAGTAAGTCGTCCAGACGACCTAGAAGTAAGTCGTCCAGAACATTATACTTTAGCCAACTAACATGTAAGTCATCCCAGAAGTCTTCAAGATCTTGAAAACCTGCATATCAAGCCCAGATCTGAAAAAACTGCATATCAAAAAACATTCAAATGGCTTAAAACACACAGAAAATGAGTGGAAGATTAGATATATATATATATATATATATATAATTTTATAGAACACACAACATACATATCAAAATGAAGATGATAACCATATGATTAAAAACCTGCACGAAAAAGATAGATTAG